TTCAGCAACTGCTGGCTGATACTTTGCGTGGTGTCGGCACCAATCGCCTTTTGGGCCGCACTGTTGGCTCGCCTTGGGGTGGTTTTCTGGGAAGATGTACTTACACATTGTTATTTCTATATATTTATTTTTTATCGCTCAAGATAAACACTATTATTTAGTTTCTATATATTGAGGAATATATTTGTCAGAAATAAAAAAAAAATATTTGGGAGTGATGTGATTGGCTAAAACTGTGCGGTGTGTTGCGTGAATGTGTGCCGCTTCTCAGTCGAGAACTGTCTAAGAGAAAGCACAGGAGCATGACAGAGGAGACGGATGTGAAGCTGCGCTGCGGTGTGTACGGCGATGGGAGCGTCTTCTCCGTCGAGATCAAGCGCAATGCAGATGTGGAGGCGCTACAAAAAGCTATATTCGCGGAGAAACGATACAGCGAGCGTTATAAGTTTGCCGCAAGCGACTTGACGCTCTACTTGGCGCGAAAGGAAGGGGAAGCCACGTGGATGAACCACGACCACACGGTGAAAGGCTTCTTGCGAGGTGGCATCAGCACCGAGTATGAAGAGATGCTTTCGTCGTGGATTCTCGACGAAGATTGCTTTGGGAAGAACTTTCAGCCTGGTCGCAAGGAGATTCACGTGCTGGTGGAACTGCCACAATTGTCGGAAGCTGAGCTGCCTCGAGATCGTCAACTTGTTGTGGGCGACGTTCATATCCCAATCACGCAAAGTATGTCGTTGAATCCGCCAGCACTGGTCGCATTTTGGAACGCATTTCTGAACGACAGTACCGACGTGAAAGCTGGCGCATTGGTCGAGTTACCCCGAGACACGTATCTTCTTGGTGATTCGACACTCGGCTCTCGTATCTACATTCGTCATTGCTACCCTGCGCTATGGGAACTTTGTCTCGAGAGGATCCACGATGAAAAGACGAACACACCGCATCTCGTGATCCTCGGCAACCCGGGAATCGGCAAGACGTTTTTCGGCTATGTGATCGTGCTTCATCTTGTCCGTACTAATGAAACGGTGGTATATGAGAGTGGTGGCCTCAAGAAGCGCTTTTTATTTGCTCACAATGTGGTGGCTCAAGGATCTCAGGAAGATTTTGTGCGCATTCTCGACCAGCCGACTACATACTACATCGTGGATGCCGTCAAGCCTGCGTATTACCCAGCGAAGACGATTCTTTTGACGTCGCCGCGCCGCTCCATCTGGTACGAGTTCAACAAGACCAATTGCCAGTCCTGCTACATGCCAGTGTGGTCTTTGAAGGAGATTCTACAATGTCGTAAGCTGATGTACTCGGATACACCTATGGACGTCGTGCAGAAGTGCTTTCGTCGATGGGGTGGTATTGCTCGCTATGTCTTGCGATTTTCACAAGTTCGTAACCAGCAGTTGTTGCTTGAAAAAGCAATGGACATTGTTGATCTCGACTGGTTGGTGAAAGCCTGTGGTCAACTTGATGCGAACGACGCTCAAGTGTCGCATCGATTGCTGCACTATCGCGTCAGCAAAGCTTTTGACAGCGAGTACTTCGTTTTTGCATCGCAATATGTTCAGCAAGAGATGTACAATCGTCTGCTTAAGAAGGATAAGCGGAAGCTGCTAGAGTTCATTGCTGCCTCGGATGGATTTGGTGCTCTTGCTGTGCTTCGTGGCCACTTGTTCGAAGGGCATGTGCATTCGGTACTGCCGCGAGGTGGAACGTTTAAAGTTCGACGTTTGGTCGAAAACAACGAGGCGTACGATGATGATGATGACCTTATGGAAGATGAATGGGACGGCGATGACGAGGATGGTGATGATGGCATGAATGCAGATGATGCCGTTGCGATGGACGAATCCAATGCTGTGGCGTTGGTCGACGGTGGCGCCGCACCTGTTATTTCTTTTGAGAGATTCGAGAAAGTTGTCGTTTTCAATGATGACAGTGAAATTGAAGCTGCTACTAACACGAGTTACCTACAGCCAGCGGCGAAGAATTACCAGTCGGTCGATGCGATCATCAAGCCGGATATTTTGTTGCAGGTGACAGGTGCACACAAACACCCCTGCAAGCAAAAAGGTCTCCACGATGTGTTGAAGCTTCTGGGGAATCCTGAACAGCCGCGGCTGTTCTTCGTGCTTCCGCCTGACAGATTCACCGATTTTAATTATCAAAAGTATCTGGACTCAAAATGCAAGAGGATGATGGCGCCAAGCTATGAGAACGTGTGCAAGATACAGCAGTTTGCGATGGAAGTCAAACTTGAATCGGAGTAGGTGTGCAGTTCCGAGGTTCCAAAACCGCGTTCCGAACCGGTTCCAAAATGATGCCGTACTTCTTTGGTCCAGAAAAGAATTAACAATGAGATAAAAAAGCCTCGCATGTTTGATTGGTCAATGTCCACTCTGAGATGGGTTCAATGTTAAAATGAGCTCATATGAGGATTTGTATGCACAGTAATTGACACAAAAATATACCACTAGATTAAGCTTTATTTGCTTTTTTCTAGTATATTTTAAAGTTTAATTCTGAGTTGTTTTCCTTTTGGATTATTTTTGACGTCGAAGCGAAAAAAAAACTCTACCCTCCATAAAGTGATAGTTCAAATGGTCAAATTTGGCAAAATTGGCGGGAAATTTGATCATTAAAAAACCGTGCTGATGCTGCGTAAGTAGGTAGAGCTTTCAAACTAACTCAAACACGCTTCCGTTGGAGCTGTACGACCAAAGTTATCGCCGATTTAAAGAACTGTTAATTCTTTTTCGGACCAGACAAGTACTTACTAGAGCTGCTGTGGTGCTTCAACTATAAAGTGAATTGCAATTATATGTGTTAATTGTGGGAACCCTGGTTCCAAAATTTTCGGAGCCATATTTTAATAACTAGAAGGGCTGTGGTTACATTGACATCTTCCGTTGGTGCTCGGGCTCCGAGTTCTTATACTCTTAAATATATATAAATTATAGAGAGGGGGTAGGGGGTAGTATAGAAAGAACATATAGAGAGACAGTGCTGCATTTTTTTTGTGGAACTTGGGAACTCGGTCCCGCATGGTGTATAAAACCTACCATGATCATACTAGTTAATGTTACGTCGGTTCGGTGACATGGAACCGGTTCAGGTCATGTTTAGGAGCTTTACGCACTACTGAATTTTAATAACTACAATCACTCTGGTAATCCCTCGTTTAAAGTGCCGATCGAGGACAATGTACGAGAATTCACATTAGGATTACGTTAACTCGCGCGTTCTTTCTCTGAGCGTACGCTAGTGGACGGACTGCTTTGATTATGTTACATCGTCCGCTCAACCTGCGCATAAAATGGCATCTAGAGTACCCCTAGCCGCCCTTAGAGACAGCGATGATGTACCATGTAGTACAGTATTAATACGTCACTTCACGCACGAATCGAAGCTCTCAAGACACTCAAAGGACCAGTATCGGAAGTGGACGGAGGCTGTCGCCGCCTCGTCCCCGTCCTGTCCCTCACCATGTTCCTCTGATATCCGAATTTTCGGAAGCCGTCACTTACAATAACAGTCGTTATCCCAGCGAACGCTCCACCAATCACAATGCATAAAATAAAAGAGTGGTGCAGCACCAATAGGGAAGAATAGAATAAAAAAGGCAGCCAACAGCAAGAGCCTTTTGCCCCGAGGCCATGAAGCAAGATAGGATCGCAAGCTGCGGCCCGCATCACAAGAGAGGCGACGCCTGGACTGTTTTGCCGTACGAGGGAGGCGATGCTTGGATAGTGTACGCTGTGCTGTCGTGTGAGGGAGGTGATGACCGGTAGATGGTATTGAAAGGAGGATTCTGGGTTTGAGTGAGCGTTGTGCTGAACATGGTAGTGCGTGTATGGGGCATGCGCAGAATGACGCGTGCATGCTAGGTGGAGTGTAGTGTATTGTTATGATAAGCTATTGTCCGAGTGTGGTGATACCTGTACAAGGATAAGAATAAGCGCTAGAGCGTGTGAAGAAGCTACATGAGGAAGAAACTCCGGAGGGAACGACACGGTAAGCCTACGGCAAGATTAAAACGAAGGAAAGCGGGATGAATGAGCAGATGACTCGCTAGTGAAAAGGTAATGCATGCGTAAAAACCTAGTGAAGAAATATCTAATACGAAACACTCACTTGTGACTGCGGTGTATTTAGTCTTATGTAGTTTACAGTCTCCAATTGAAGCTCTCACCCAGTGCGTTGAGGGTATGTTGTGACTGTTTGCGCTGAGCCTCCAGAATGCAGACTGCTTCATCTTCATTAACTTTCTATTCCTGTGCGATCAGATTAACTCGATCAATAATTCTTTTGCGCCTGAAGTAGAATCGCTTTTCGGCTGGATTATTTCGCCAATTGGATCCGTGTAGCTTCTCCAATTCGCGTACAGCAGGACCACCATTAATTCCCGTCGTCCACTCCTGCCATACTTGATGAACCGTTTTGAGAGATCTCGTGAGCTTGTACATCGTGGGTAGCTGCGAAGTCTGAGCTGGAGCCGAGGTTGCAGCAGTTGGTGTGTTCAAGTCGAAGGTCAAACGTACGGTGGCGGCACCAGAGGTAAACTGTGAAATCGTATTCTTAATGTGATTACCGACTTCGCTGAGTTTGTTATAAATGTGTGTCAGTGTTTGTTCTTGCTGCTGTCTTAGATGCTGCATTAAATCTGGCAAATGATCCGCTTGCGGTTATTTCTCCGTGAGCATTTTGGGTTTCAGCTCAGCTGCGAATGTGTTAAACTCGCTGCAGCTAAATGGAGGGTGAGCCCATAGTTTATGCGTCGGGTGAAGGTCACGCAGCAGAACCGCATCCTGTAGGACAGCTATACGAAGGTACAGTAGTAACTCCAAGAAGCCCCCGGTTGCTACGTTGGGTGCCGACTGTTGTTTGTATGACGCATATAGTCATCGACAAAGGGAAATACGCCACGCTGAAGCTGCTCAGGAGGAAGAAGAGCTGCCCGCTCTAAGAAAAACGACCGTTTGTCAGGGGGGGAAATCCTGCTAGAGACCGCATCGCTTCTCGTGGCAAAGCGCTTAGGTAACAGCCCTCCATTGCGGATGCATTCCACCTTCCTAACCGTCGAATTTGTGAATCTGTAGCACCTGCTAATTCGGCCATCCTTGCTCCTGAACCCCGTGCCGCATGTGTCTTAGCCTTCGTATGCATGCCTAATGCTGTGAACGCCTTTATAGTGGCGTCGTAATGCGATCGGTATGTCATTGATTTTGTTGGATTCTTGTTTGACTTTAGAAGTTTGATGTCGTACCAGTCTTCAGGGGCCAGAAAGTTAGGTAGCAATTCCATTTGCACACACCAGCGATAAAACAGATACAGAGTGAGTGCCCCAACTGGGCAAACCTCAACATTGATGTGCCTAATACACGAACCAAACTCACGACGGCCGAACCGGTTTGTTTCCCCCTGCTCCATTATCATGACTAGTGCCCGGCAATCTGTAAATCCTTCGTGTTCCAGAATCACACTAAAAAGGTCAGGTAACTCCAAATTACGGGCAGACTCGCCTCTTAAGAGACATGCGTGGTACAGGAAATGACTCATCCGATTCCGTAGATCAGCACCTGTGTTCAGGCCCATATAATAACGAGAAATCGCAACCAGATCGGCTGTGGTGCAGTACCCATCCAGGAGAGATCCGACGCCTCGGTCAGCATATTCGCGTTTTTTTCGCGTTTTTTTTGCTTCAGCGTTGAAAGTAGTGCTTTAATCCAGCTGTTGCGTGGATGAGGGAGTGAATTCACACCTCTAGTCTGCTGATCGCTGTACAAATCTGACATAGCGCTCACGTACATATCTACAGTAGCAACTCCAATCTTTCGCTGTGAATTTTTGACACGAACTTCGCGATATACCACTTCTTCACGTAGAAATAGATGTAGCTTCGATGCCGTAACTTGGTAGCGTGTAGTTTCATGAAATTTCTTGCGGTCACACCATGCCTTGAACTCGCGCTGTTTTGGCTCGTACGCTCGAGCTGTATTTGCAGGGCGGGATTCACGACACCGGTCCAGCGTTGCGTGGGCACTCTCTTCAAGCTCCACCTGACGAGATGGCACCTCTACAGCTAGATCCAGCAATGGAGCTATTGCCTCTGTAACAGAAATACATCTACCTTCAAAACTGTAGTAGATGATTTTTATGGCATTTGGAGGGTTTTAACTATTCACGCTGAAACGTTTTTACTGAGTGACGCCGTCCTCATACTTAGAGCATGTGGGTAAGAGGACACCTAGCCCTTAAGAAGATATCATTCATTACCGTACTGGTACTCATCGCTGTCTCTAAAGGCGGCAAGGGTACTC